TGTCTTCCCCGCGACCATCGTATCGTCCACCCACTTCAATATATAAAGCAGAGGCATTCAAACTCTGTCCCTCCAGCTGTCGTGGAACTACAACTCCCACAAGGCATTGCAAGACTGACAGACACAGGCATGATGGGATTTGTAGTGACACCACAGCTGAAGTTTGTATAGCCCTGTTTATAAATGTTTACACCAGGGGTAGCAAACCTCCGGCCCTCCAGCTGTGGTGGAGCTACAAATCCCATGAGGCATTGCAAGATTCTCACAGTCACAGACATGACTCCCGAAGAGAGATGCATCATGGGATTTGTAGTTTCACCACAGCTGGAGGGCCGGAGGTTTGCTACCCCTACTTTACACTTTGGGCTGTGGTGGCATCTGGAAAAGTGTGATAATAGAATTAGTGGAAGGCTTCCCCCCCACCCCCCTATAGCAGGGGTAGCCAACCTCCGGCTGTGGTGGAACTACAAATCCTATGAGGCATTGCAAGATTCTCACAGACACGACTCCCAGAGATGCATCATGGGATTTGTAGTTTCACCACAGCTGGAGAGCCGGATTTTGGCTGCCCCTATAGGTAACTAGATGCTCTTTACACTGAGATTAAGGATCAGACACTCGTTTGTAATTGCTGTAGGCAACCTTGGTGTCTCAGCTGGGATGAGACTACAAATGTTATCATGTCTGTGGTTGTCAGAGTCTTGCAATGCCTCTTGGAACTTGTAGTTCTATAACAGCCAGGGTTCTGAAGTTCCCTCCCCGTGCTGTGGACGCGCAAACACTCTATGTGATGGCTGAAGGCAACCTTGGCACTCCAGCTGTGGTGAAGCTACAAATCCCATGATGCATCCGCTTTTGGGAGTCATGCCTGTGGCTGTCAATCTTGCAATGCCTCATGGGACTTGTAGTTCCACCCCAGCTGGAGTGCTGAGGTTGCGTACCCCTGGTGTAGACACAGTTTGTGAAGGCTTTAGGCAACCATGGCACTCTAACTGTGGTGAAACTACAAATCCCTTGATGCATCTGTTTCTGCGAGTCATGCTTGTGGCTGTCAATCATGCAATGCCTCATGGGACTTGTAGTTCCACCCCAGCTGGAGTGCCAAGGCTGCCTACCCCTGCTGTAGACGCACACTTTGTGATGGCTGTAGGCAACCTGGACACTCCAGCTGTGGTAAAACTACAAATCCCATGACGCATCTACTTTTGAGAGTCATGCGTGTAGTTGTGTCTTGCAATGCCTCATGGGAGTTGTAGTTCCACAACAGCTGGAGGGCCTGCCATAGACAGAAAAGGGGGATTTACTAAAAAGTGTCAACTGGAGCAATCAGCTTTTATATTTGCATTTTCTAAGCTGTGTGGAGAACAAAAAGATAGAAGCTGATTGGTTGCCATGGGCAACTGCACCAGTTGGGATAAAACTTTTCCCAGATACATTTTATTTACCCCCCCCCCATGGGGGGGGGGGGGGGGCTCCCGGGGGGGGCGACCCCCCCCCCCCCCAGGGGGGGGGGGGGGGGCTCTCAGATGGGTATGAGGCTTCTCACACACAAATATCCAATAGGAGACCTGACACTCCGCCACAGATGCATTCGCCCGCACAGGGCCAGCTCCCCAACTACTTCATTCTCCACCCCCGGAGTCATAGCGGAAGAAAATAAGGTGCCTCTTCCCAGGTTGTAGCCACCTCTGATACTTCTCGGTTCTGGAACAAGCATGCAGCAAGTGAAAGACAAAGGTTCCTCCCAAAAGGACTGAAGCTGATGGATCAGCATGACATCTAATGGATGTTTTTTCCAAGGCTGGCAATGGCAACCTACATATTGGGTTCTTTAAAGTGAAACCAGATCAGTTATATGGACTACAAGGACTGAAGTTGCTTCTGCCCCGCAGATACTGAGACTGCTTCCACAGCTGGACAGGCAAAATAGGTGAAGACTGGTGTGTTGAAGAATTAGACCCCCACTGGGGAGATTCGCCCTTTGTCCTGGTGTCACTGCAACTGATCGGAATTCTAAAATTTGCAGTTGTCTCTAAAACAGGAATAGAAGGGAAATCTTTCTAGGTGGACACCTGTTCCCATGACAACTGCCCAAAGGGAATTCCTTTACTTCCTGTTTTGTCTAGCCTACAGGAAGGGAAATCTCCCTATTGGGGGCACACACAGGGGGGGTGTCTAACCCTTCCCTGCTCCATCCAAAACAAGGGCTAGAGATATAGTTTAATACTATGATCGGTCCTGTGATATAAACCTGGGAATGCCAAGCTCCATGCAACTGGCTGCCTTTAATGTGACCTCTGACTTGTGGACCCACTCAGCCAGGTGCAGGGGCTGAGGATGACAGGAAATGATCAGTGTGACTCTTCTATACTCCCAACTTCTTCCCTTGTTGTGCAATACAGCACTGTGTTAGCCCGGAACCTTTCTGCATGCTCCTCTGTTGCCGAGGAGCACAGAACACGCTCTCTGAAGTACGGCTCACTGGGGCCAATCACAGGGAAGAATGCTGAGACGGGCGTCAGAAGAAGCCAATGAGAAGTACGGGAAGTGGGACGGGATTTGACGGGACTGGGAAGCCTGCGACGTCCTGGAGGGATCCCGGAAGCAGGTGAGGACAACTAAAGGGGACACGTGTGTGCGCTGTAAACTATAGCAACCAATCACAGCTCGCTCTCTGCGACCAAAGCAGTGAGAGTTTATTGAGTGACGACAGGGAGGGGCAGTGGTTACCCATAGCAACCCGGGAGGCTTCATCATTACTGACTCAAACGATCTGATCACCCCAATTGTGTACACAAACACCCCATATCCATGTGTGACATTCTTCAGCCCCATCCCAGCCTGTCACTTATTCTGCTATATGAGCTTTATTTCCTGCCATGGGGGGCCCAGGCGTGATACATTACCGGGGCCCTCCTTTATATTGGCCCTAATTGTATGGTGTAGTCACCAGACAACTCTCTCCCCCCTTAGGGTTGGCAGCGAAGGGGTTATGGAGATGTCACCTCCCCCGGGACCTTTGCCCTCTCTCATCTCTCTGTCTCTCCTCTGCAGGGCTCATTGTGTTGTGAGCGGCTCGTATGTCGGGCAGTGCCGGGCTGAGGCTCAGCAGAGGGTTATGCCGCTTAGGAAGGCTGCAGAGGCACCTAGTCATGTCTGCTAACAACTTCTGCGGAGCGCCATCCCCGGACAAGGGGCCGCCAGACGATGGAGCCGTCACGGCTGGGATCATCATTATCGGAGATGAGATACTGAAGGTGAGCGAGGGATGCCGTGCAGTGCGGAGGGATGCCGCGCAGGGGGTGATGTCTCTATATGTGTCACCTTCTGCAGACTCTCCTGATGATTCTCAGCATCAAGACTTCCAGCTGGTCCACATTTCCCCCCAAATGTCTCACAAAACACATTTATAACGTAGCCATACATCTCACAACCAGACATGTGTCAGCACGCAGGCGAGTCGTTTCATCCAACGTGCAGCAATGTCTGATATGTTGGTTCTTTGTTCTACATAGTCAGATGGATATCTAGAAATGGGTTGTTCAAACTTCGGTCCTCCAGCTGTGGTGGAACTACAACTCCCATAAGGCATTGCAAGACTGTGTCAGCCACGGGCATGACTCCCAGAGGCAGATGCATGATGGGATTTGTAGTTTTACCACAGCTTTCTCCTCCCTTTCTCCTCCCTCCCTCCCTTTCTCCTCCCTCCCTCCCTTTCTCCTCCCTCCCTCCTTTCTCCTCCCTCCCTCCTTTCTCCTCCCTCCCTTCCTTTCTCCTCCCTTTCTCCTCCCTCCCTTTCTCCTCCCTTTTT